AGAACATCAAAAAAGAACTTTAAGTTAGTTTTTCATTTTACATACTTTTTTTTATTTTAGGTTCATTTTTTTTAATTTTCTTTTATTTAAAATAAAAAGAACTTAGAATTAAAAAAATATACAAAAAGATTTGAAAATCCAAAAGAAAAAATTAAATTAAAACAACGTAATCAATTTTTTTATCCTAAGTGCTTTTTAGGTTCTTTTTGTTTAAATTTTGTTTTATTTAAAATGAAAAGAACTAAGGATTAAAAAAAATATACAGAAAGAACTGAAAATCCAAAAAAATTATATTAAAAAAGAACTTAATCAATTTTTTTTATCTTAAATGATTTTTAAGTTCTTTTTGTTTTGAAATCTTCTTTTTATTTTAAGTAGTAAAAAATTAAAAATTTTAAGTAATTGGAAAGAGTTAGAAATTAAAAATGGAATTCAAAATAAAAAAAAGATCTTAAAATGTAAAAACAATTAAGAAAAATAGAAAATTAAATAATGAAAAGAAATTAAAATAAAAAAACATAAAACGAACTTTAAGTTATTCTTTTTAATTCTTTTTTTTTTTATTTCAAGTTTGTTTTTTTATAAAAAAATTTGTTTATTTAAATTATTTAGAATACAAAAATATGAATAAAGGAATTGAAAATAATAAATAAACAAAAGAACTTGAAAGAATTTGAACTTAAAAAAAAAACTTTGAAAATAACAAAAAGTAGAAATAAAAAAAATTTTAATTGAAAATAAAAAGAACTAAAAAGAATTGAAAACTTGAAATAAAGAAAAGTTTAAAGAATTTAAAATAAAGAAGAATTGAAAATAATAAATATACAAAAAAATTTTAAATAAAAAAGAACACAAAATGAAGAAAAAAATGTAAAATAGAAAGGAACATCGAAGAAGAACTTAAAAGAATTTGAAATTAAAAAAAAACTTTAAAAATAACAAAAAGTAGAAATAAAAAAAATTTTTTAATTGAAAGTAAAAAGAACTTAAAACATTTAAAAACTTCAAAAAAACTTGAAATAAAGAAAAGTTTAATGAATTTAAAATAAAAAACCTTAAAATAAAAATCTTGAAATAATCTGAAATATACAAGAATTGAAAATAAAAAAAAACTTGAAATTGGAAACGAGCTTTTATTTCTTTTTTAATTTAAATAAAAAGAATATTTAAAAAGAGGTCTTAAAAAATTTGAAGTGTTAAAAGAATTGAAAATAAAAAATATTGACATGAAAAAAAGTTAAAAGAATTTAAAATAAAAATAAAATAGAATTAAAAATATAAAATCAACTTGAACTAAAAAAAAGTTCAAGGAATTTAAAATAAAAAATAATTGAAAATACAAAAAAACTTGTAGTAAAAAAGAATTTTATATTCTTTTTTTAATTTAACTAAATTATTTTTTTATTATGTTTTTTATTATTTTGTTATTCGTCTTTGTCGTAAGTTTTTTATTTGTCTTAATTTCTTTTTTATTTTAATTCCTTTTTTTATTCGAAATTCTTTTTTTTTTTTAAGTTCTTTGTTTTTATCTTCAGACTTTTGAAAATAACTTTTATATTGTTTATCGTTTTTTCATCTTTCTTTTATTTTGGGTGGAAACATGTTGAGCAGCTTTTTTTTTTTTTAAAAACATAATCTTAAGGTCGGGTCATCTAGTTTGCGTAAGTCATGCCACAGCTTTCGAGCTGTGGCGAATTTTTAAAAACAAGCTTAAGAAGCTTTTTCCATATTTTCTTGGGGGTAATTTTTTCTAAATTACGAGTATATTTAAATTAGAGTGGCGCGCGGTTTTTACATTTTGAACGACTTATCTTCCTTTTTTTTATTAATGCTATATATACGCTCTTTAATTTCGTAACTCAACTGTCGTTAAATCAAGAAAAAAAAAATGTTAGCCTTTTATCATCATTTTTTTCCCCTCACGCATTTCTCTTGGAAAAATGCAAATAAATTCATATACATGTTTATGACTTTATAAATAGGGAATTAAAAATTTATGTCTTGCTATATTTTTATCCCCCTTTTTTCGGTGGTTTAGAATTGAAATTATTTAAATTATATTTCGTTGAAAAAAAAAATTTTCTGTTTGCTTTTATTCTTTGGTGGTCGTTTAATAATAAATTGTTATTTTTAGCAGCAATTATATAATAATTAATTTATTATTTATTTATTTGAAAAATTACTTTTAAAATTCCAAAAACAAGATCTACAATAGTATTTATTTATTTACTAAACTTTATAACTTTAATTTATCAAGTTAGACAAAGAAAAACTAAAAATTAAAATCGATGGATAACTCTAATTTATCAAGTTAGGAAAAGAAAAACTAAAGAAATGTTTTTAAATTAAAAAAAATTAATAAAAGTTTGTCTCTCAATATTTTTAGAGTTTATTAATTATACGAGAAGAAATTTAGTGTAGAACATAAATCAGAATTTTTTAAAAAGTGTGTGTATATTCTTTTAAGGAATTTCATTAGCCTGATATTTAGATAATTTTCACTTGAAGGATGCAAAACTTTAAAATTTATGATGAGCAGTTTAGTCGGAATGTAACAAAGCTGTAGACAAAGAGAGTGTCTGACTAAAAGTACTTGTAGTTTCCGACGACAATTTCAACATAAATGAATTACGTAGCGTTGCATTGTTTCTAAGTTCATTTACGTGAAATTAAGAGAAGTTATATATATGTATACACATTTATATATATGTACATTACTTCGCTACTCACTTACATTTTCAATTAAATTGAGATTAGGTCATTTTGTTAAGTGAAGTTTGATTAGTTCCCTTTTTGAGAAATCATGCAATCAGATTTCACTTGACGTGGATAAACTTTTCTCACACATACTTATTATTTTATATGCATATATATTCACTACTTCCTCTCGGCATTTGCATTAATCATATTTAAAAAAAAATTTTCTTACTTCAAAAATTTATCTAAGTGCCGTAAATAATTTTTATTGTTAATTAATTCCATTTTTTTTATGCTACACAGTGTTTATTGTATAGACTGAAAAAATTTTCGTTCTAAATTTGACGAAAAATTTTATATAAATATAAAATATGAGTTAAAATATTATAATAAAATATTATATAGAAAATTATAAATATAAGTAAATATAAATATTAATGAATATTAATAAAAATTTAAATACAAATAAATAATTATAATTCGTAAATTTACAAATATTTTATAATTTGTTTTTTTTTCTTTTTTATAATTCTCATAAAGCATTTCCTTTTCTTTTTGTTTCAGGTGAGTTAAACAATACGTTTCCTGTCGAGTTCATTTCGTAAGTAAATATATATTAAAATACATATAATTATATATTATTGATAAAATATCATTATTAAAGGAATAATTAAAAAATGATGAAAGAAAATTAAAAAAAAGAAACATTAAAATATTAAATCTACAGGTTTTAAAATAACGTATTTTGACTTTTTAGTTACAAAATAATTAACAAATCGGTTTAAATAAAAAGCAAATATTAAATCGTACTATTAATATATTAACGTTAACAAATATTAATTTTAATAAATATTAATACTAATAAAATTTAATAATGAAGATAATCCATGAATTTTGTTTTCACGTGATAAATTACAGTGAGAAAATAATATTTATTTGAATTAAACATATTTATCTCTGTTATAGAGACAACGAAATAATTATTTTTGAATTATAATTTTTAGTATTCGGACAAAAAGTCCAAACCAAAAAATCCAAAAAATTAAAAAAAAAATTTTTTTGACTTATTTTTTGGATTTTTTGTTTTTGTCAAAAAGTCCAAAGAAATAAATCCAATGAAAAAAAAATTAAGATAAAAAAATTCAAATAGTTGCCTTGAATTAAATAAATGAATAAAATTGTTCTTTTTTTAATTTGTTAGGTAAACTTAACATTTCAAATTTCCTAAAATAATTAAATTAATCGAGTAATATAATTGGAATTATATTTTTAAAAAATAATTTAATTTTTGTAAGGAATTTTATCAAAATTATTGAAAATAATTGTATTTCTTGGAATAATTGTTTGAAAAATTTTATAGAATAATTGAGATTTTTCTAGAAATTTTTATTATTTATGAAAATATAATTGAATTTTTGTAAAGAATTTTTTTAATTTATAAAAATAATTGAATTTTTCTGAAGAATTTTATTATTTATGTTTATATAATTAAAATCCTGCGATTTTAAAAATTAATATTTTAAATTTCGATTTTATAGCGTAAAAAGTAAAAACGTGGCTTTTTCACATGTTTCACTATTTGTTTTGGACGTTTTTGACTTTGGACATTTTTATTTTGGATTTTTTCTACTGTGGACTCTTTTTCTTGGATTTTTCGGTCTGGATTCTTTGGATTGGATTTTTTTGTCCTGTAATCATAATTTTGATTCAATATATTTTAAGTTTGATTAAATAAAAATTACGTTTAATTCAATTCTAAAATTTAATTCAAATATATTTTTTCGGTTGGCTATTTATTTTAGAATTAAAAAATTTTTTTTCGTGTATACTCTACATATAAAATAAATGAATTAAAAATAATTCGTCTTCTATTCAATTTTCTTCAGTGGTTTTTCTAAGCCTCTCAAATTGAGATCATTAAAATTGTACTAAATTGCATAAAGTATTAAATTTTATCGCAATAATATGATACATACTTATTTATGGTCTCAATTTAAGATCCTTGGAAAATGAAGCTCGTGAATTGAAAAGAAATTCTTTTTTTATTTTTTGTTATTTATATTAAAAATAAAAATATAGATTTATGATTTTTTGTATAAAATAAAATATTTGTTATTTCAAGTAGAAAACGAGATTATATTATTTAATTTTGAATTTCGTTTTCTCATTGAAAAGAAGAATATTAAATTTAATTTAAAAGCAAAAAATAATTGATTTTGTTGTCAACTGAAGTATTATATTAATATTTGATTCAGTAGATTTTTTTATGATATTAATATTATAAACATAGAATTAGTACTTACTTTGGTTTTTAGATTAGAGAATTCATTTTTGCAATATCCTGAGATGGACTGAAACAAAAAAATATGACGTTTTGATAAATTGTCATTGAGAAAATTACTTTTATAGAAAATTTTTCTACAATTGTAATTTATTATATTAACGTCAGGGAAATTGAATTTAAATCTTAATATAAATTAAATTAAATCAAATTTAAATATATAAATTTAAATATAAATTTAAATGAAGTTTAAATATGAATTTAAATTAAATTTGAATTAAGGCCACATGTCAGGGTAATGAAGAAAGTTAGGAAACAAGAATTCAGAAAATGTCGGGAAATTTTATTAATATTATTATAGAAAAAAACTCAGATTTTGTACAAATGTTAAAAAATTTAATTGTTTTATTCTAATTTCTAATTTTTATTCAATTCTTTGAAGATAATTGAACTCTCGGAGATAATTAATTAAATAAATTTTAAATTATTCGAATTTCGTAAAATTTAATTAAAAAGTTATTGAAACTTTGAAAATCTGATTAAGAGGACGGTTCACTCTGAAAAAAAAATTGTTTTTTAAATTTAATTTTTTTTAAGAATAAAGAGAGATATCTAAATAATATAAATAAATAATTTCAATATTTGAAGCAAATAAATTTTATTTGAACCAGTATTTAAAAGAAATAACATTTAATTGACCAGAATAAAAATTATTTGTACCAAAAAATATTTATTTGATAGTAGGCAAGTAATTTTTTATTTGAATCAAATAATTTTTATTTAAATCAACTAAATGGCATTTGCTTAAAATACTTCAGTATTTGAAGCAAATACGATTAATTAATGGTTAATTAATTATTATTGGTTCAAATAAAATTTATCTGTAGATAAATCATGATTCAAATAAAGATTATTCGATAAAATATTTATTTGATAATAGGCAAGTAATCGATTACTTGAAACAAATCATTTTTTTTTTTTTTTGGGTAAAAAAATTGAGTTTTACGAAAAGTAAAAAATAAAGTTATCCGATCAGGAAAAAAGTAAAAATTCTTACCGGAAATTAAAAAAATGATGAAAGAAAAAGTGAAATAAAAATGTTGTGACAACTCAAAAGAAATTCGAAAATAATTTATTTTATGTTCAATAAAATAGAAAGATTATCGGATCTGAGATAGAATTAATTTTATTAACATTTTTTAGAGTTTAATTATATTATCTATTATATTATTATTTTTATTATTTTTATTATTATCATATAAAAAAAATGTTCATATTGATGAATTGTACATCTAAAGTTGAAAGTGAAGAAGGAATTATCTTTAGCCGTAATTCTGAAATTAAAATGAATAAAGAAGGAAGAGTTTAAAAAAGTTATTATCGTGCGCTTCTTGCGCCTGATATCTTACTTTTAATAATTCACTTTCCATATTTCATTCGCAGTGCATTAGTTATATTTTGCTCAAGTCGCATTAAAGCTTGCCCAAGGTATATACGGGCGCGCTAGCCTTTATCTGACAGAATTGCAGCCATAACGTTTCCTTCTTTCTCCCTCGACGAAACGGTTTCTCAAACAAAGCTCTACACCGCAGATAAAATCTTTTCATCCTCTTTTGTCCTTCATGTCCTTTTCCAACCGTTTTCTCACTTTGACCGCATAACATATGACGACACGTTCAGGCAAAAAAGAAAAAAAAATGCAAATAAAATGGCAAATACTTTTAAAAAATGATCCATAAAGAATTATGAATAAAAGATTAGAACTCTTTTTTCGTGGATATTATACAAATATATGTGTTAATTTTATACACTGGGTGGACAATATGTTTGAATCAGTTATAGTTACACTGAGAAAAAAGGTTTATTTGTCTCAGGGACTACTGTACTTTTTGTTTGGTACGAAATAAATTTTCTTTGATTAAAATAAATTTTATTGGATGCAAATATTTTCGGTGCAATAATTTTTTGGTTCAAATAAATTTTCTTTGGTTCAAATAAATTTTATTCGGTGCAAATAAATTTCTTTGGTTCAAATAAATCTTCATTGGTTCGAATAAATTTTGATTGCTTCAAAGAAATTTTCTTTGGTTGGAATACATTTTTTTTTTTTTTTCAAATAAAGTTTCTTTGGTTTAGATAAATTTTTTTCGGTTCGAATAAATTTTGTTTGATTCAAAAAAAAGTTTTTTTTTGCCTCAAATAAAATTTCATTTGGTTCGAATAAATTTTATTCGTTTCAAATAAAGTTTTTTATTTGTTTGAAATAAATTTCCTGTGGTTTTTAGTTGTTTAATTTATTTTTTTTTTGGTTAGAATTTAGTTGGAGAAAAAATATTAATTACTCACTTCTAAAGAATACAGACGGGAATATTGAACGCGTATTCTAAACTGAATTCAACTTGTTAAAACTTAAAAGTTTCACCTGGATATCAGAAGTAATGAAAATTTGAATTCCCTACTCTTTTGGGAATTAAGTCTGAGCTTACAGTGAACAGTTCATTTATACAGAGAAAAGATTTTCATATTCAAAAGTGAAATATTCATTGGAACTTTCTGAAAGAGGAAACGTCGACACTTGGTTGTTGTCGACTAATGAATATTTATGTGAATATAAATAAAATAGACTAATTAGATGAAATTTGTTTTGTTTCATAAAGAATAAATAAAAAACGATAAAGTTGCTGTGCTAGAAAGATCGAAATAAAAAAATCTTCTTTTGTTTTCATTTGTTGAAACTAAAACTCGTTTAGAAAGTTTTAGAAGACAGCGAAAGACGGGAAGAAAAACAAAAGAAGGGACAATATGTCTTTTAAGAGGAGTTAATTACCTGGAGTAGTAAACTTTTTCAAGAGAGTGTTTATGCCACCTATGATACTAAATTAGTTTATAACACATAATAATAATTAATTAATAACACCTAATTTAATTTTTTAATTAATTAATTTATAACAAAGGTCAGGGAATTAAGGGAAAAGTCAGAGAAAGTAAAATTGGTCAGGAAAATCAGGGAAAATTTAGGAATATTTATTTATTATTTATTAAACATTTATTAAAAGTATTGGAAAAAATTAAGTATATTTAATTAATTATGAAAAATTATGGATTTATAGAAGAATCTTAGTTAAAAACACTAAAATAATTGAATTTTGGAGAAGTTACAAATTATTGCAGAAATTTAATTATTTTTAAAAGTAACAAAATTCTTAGCAAAAAACAAAAATTCAATTACTTTTAATACAATTTTAATTTAATTAATTTGAAAAATTTAAATAAAATTCTTCGTTAGTATTCAATTATTTTCACAAATAACCGAATTCATTACAGGAATTCAATTATTTAAAAAATTGCTTATAAAATTTGTTGCAAGAATTCAGTTACTTTCATAAATAATAAAATTCTTTGAAAAGTGCAATTATTCTTAAACTTTTTATTAAAATTCTTAGAATGAATTTAATTATTTTCAGAAATAATAAAATTTTCACATAAATTCAATTAATTATAAATTTTTTCAAAAATTTCTTCGCAATAACTCAATTTTTTTCGTAAATAATAAAATTCTTCTTAGGAATTCAATTATTTTCATAAATAATGAAACTCATCGTCGAATTTCAATTATTTGTAATACAATTTTAATCGAATTTTAATAATTATTCATAAAATTTTTATTAAAATTCGTCAAGAGAATAAAATTATTGAAAAATTCGCTGTTAAAATTTTTTATGTTAATTTAATTTTAAGAAACATTCAATTCTTCAATAAATGATTTATTTTTATATTTAAATAATTGAATTCTCGTAGAATTTTCTAATAAACATTGATTTAAAAATGAATTTCAGTTAAAATTTTAGATAATAATTGAATATTAATAGCATTATAGTGTAAATTTTTAGAAATAATTGAATTTTGAAAAGGTTTTAAATTGAAATTTATGAAAATTTGAATTTTTCATATTTTTAATATTAACATTTCAGTAGAATCAATTTTGCATTTTTTTTAAAAATTGTTTAATGTTTTTTTTCTAATATATATTTAATTGAAGAATTACCGAATAATTGAATTTAAAATTTTTGAAAATCTTAATTTGTATGGAAAAATAATAATAATTGAATATTTATTATAAATAAAACTCGATGTTTTCGAATAATTTTACATTTAAGGAAATTCGTAAATAAATGTAATAAAACATTTTTTTGAGTATCTAATAATTTTTTGAGTGAATCAGAATATTCTTTAAGATCAGAAGAAAAGTCGAATTTTTTGTCTCTGGAAATCAGGAATAACAAAATCAAACTTTTGTGGAAACCCTGTATTTAAATTGTATAAATATTACTAAATATTAATTTGTATAGGTGCTAATAAATAACATACATACCTATGATAAATTATTATAATTTAAGATATTGAATGAAAATGAAATGAGAAAATTATTCTCAAGAAAAAGAGGAGAATCTGAAAATTCAAAATTTACAAAAAAAAAGAAAGGAAAAGACTTGAAATGAACTTCTCACATGTAAAATGCAAAAGCTGAGAGAGAATAAAAAGAAAGAGGGAAAGAATACAAACATGAAAGTCCTTGCAAGAACTATAATAAAATTGAGATCATTGTAAATGGATGTCATGTGAAGTACAGAAATAGAAAAAAGAACCTCGAGAACTCTGAATGGAATGCAGTGAAGAATTATGACACATATTACAAACATCGTCGTGGGGGGGGGGGGTTTGAAGAAAAACAGTGGAAAAAATGTAGAGGAGAAGAAAATGTTTTCGATTTAAGTTACAAGCGTATTTTCTTTATTTTTTCTTTGTTTGGTAAATTTATTCTACACATAATACTCAGGGGTCGTGATTTCACTGAATCTTGATTTAATTATAGGCGATTAAACTTTTAATTGAGAAATGATTTATTTGAAATGGTATTGAAAATGGTTTTAATCACTAAGTAACTTTTAATCAGATTATTAGTTAAATTTATTTTTAAGCTATTGAACTTTTTGTTTGGTTCAAACAAATTTTCTTTGATTTATATAAAAATAAATTTAACAAATAAATTTCGTTTGGTTCAAATAAATTTTCTTTGGTTCAAATAAATTTTCTTTAGTTCGAATAAATTTTCTTCGGTTCAAATAAATTTTGTTTGCTTCAAAGAAATTTTCTTTGGTTCGAATAAATTTTGTTTTTAGTTCAAATAAAATTTTAATCGGTCAACCACGATTTTACTAATAATTAATTACTTTTAACTTATTTTAGAGAATACCAAAAAGAAAATTCTTTTTTAAACTTATCATCAGTTTTTTTTTAGATTTTAATTATAAATTGTCACCTTCCAGGCTTCATACTCAACTACTGTTTTTTTTTTTTTGAGTATTTACACTACTTTAAATTCGCTAATACCTACTAGAAATCAAAAAACTATTCTCAAAAATTATAATCAAATTCTTTAAAGCGATTTACTTATTTTCCAAAAATATTCGAAATTCAATTATTTTCAATATCTAGTATTTTCATAAAATTTCGTAAAACAATTCAATTATTTCGAAAAAATCAATTATTTAACAAAATTTTTATACAATTCTCCACAATAATTCAATTACTTTCACTAATAATAACAGTTTTCATAGCAATTCAATTTTTTAAAAATATTTTTGATAAAATTCTAAGCAAGAATTTAAATATTTTCATAAATCACAAAACTCATCGAAGAATTTTAATTATTTTTAATACGATTTTAAATTAATTAATCGAAAAATTCAATTATTTTCACAAATAAAGTTTTTCACAAGAATTCAATTATTTTAAAATAAAATGTTTATAATATTTATTATATTTCGAAAAAATTAATTATTTAAAACAATGTTTATAAATTTCTTATAAAGAATTTAATTATTTTCAAAAATAATAAAATTTTGGACAGAAATTCATTTCTTTTTAAACATTTTAATACAATTTTTTGTAATAATTCAATTATTTTTAAAAATAATAAAATTCTTCGCAACTATTCAATTATTTTCATAAAGAAGAAAATTCATCGCAGGATTTTTATTATTTTTAATACAATTTTACAGGAATTGATCAAAAAATGTAATTATTCTTAAAAATTTAATTTTAATTCCTCGAAAAAATCAATTATTTAAAAAAATGTCTTTTAAATTTTTTGGAAGAATTCAATTATTTACAAAAATATTCAAATTTTTCACAGGAATTCAATTATTTTCAAATATTTGAATAAAATTCTTGGAAAAAAATCAATTATTTTAAATAGAATTTTAATTCCATTTTTTTTAAATAATTCAATTATTCTTTTAGATTTTAATAAAATTCTTCCCAAGAATTCAATTGTTTACATAAATAATTGTTTGAAAGAATTCAATTATATCGATAAATAACAAAATTATTCCCGAAAATTCAATTATTTTAAGTCATTTTAATAAAATTCTTTGCAAAATTCAATTATTTTCATAAATAACAATATTCATTACAAGAATTCAATTATTTTTGTGAATAATAAAGTGCTTTTTAGGAATTCAATTATTCTCAAAAATTTTAATAGAATTCTTTGTAAAATTTAATTATTTTTAAAAACTTTTCGCAGTTCAATGATTTTCAATATCCACTATTTTCATAAAATTTCCAAACAGAAATTAATTATTTAAAAAAATTTTTGTAATAATCTTCGTAAGAATTCAATTCTTTTCATGAATAATTCACATTTCTCAGAAATTCAATTATTTAAATTAGAATTTGCATAAAATTAGTCGAAAGAAATCAATTATTTAAAAATTTTAATAAAATTCTTCACAAGAATTAAATTATTTTTATAAATATTTTAATTCTTTCATGAATTATATAAAATTCGTTGAAGGAATTCAATTTATTAGTATAGGATAAGAAAGAAGTAAATGTTTTTTATGAAAATTAGGAAAAAGTCAGGAAAATAAAATATAGAATGAAATTTTTATCAGTTTTGTGAAGTGTCTAAAACGAGTTTTTTTTATGTCAAGTTTAATTTTTCGATATCT